CAGTACCGCCCCCAACTCAGATTTGAAAAATAATCAGTGGATGGCTGTTTTCTGACTGGTCGGCAGACCGCCAACTAACTGGTCAGCCCTACTGGTCGGCTGCAAAACGGTCGGCGGTTGGCAGCTATGCAACCCTGGCCAGTGGCCTATTCAGCAGTCTCATTGGAGGCATACATCTCGATTGCCGCGTTGATCAGACCTTCTATGCCTGCTTGCTTGTTAAAGGTCTCTGCCAGGGGAGCAAGAAGGATGACATGACACTCTTTGAAGTCTAATTCCGCGTGGCATTTCCTGATTGATTACCTTATGAGGCACATTCTATGCCGTGTTAGCTGACTGTTTGTGTTAAGACCACTTTCTACTAATTTTCTAGGATGTTATTTGGCACAACTGATTGCTAAACGTCAGTCGCTAACCATTGCTGCGCAATGGGTTGCTGAACTTTGTTCTGAACATGTGAGAGCAGGTCTTGTGTCAGATCCCTCTAGCTGCAGCAGTAAATGGAACTCGTGGGATGGGAGTGATGGTTAAAAACCACCACTACATCTGAGCCTCTTTTTTCCGAGGCAGATTCCCCTTTCGTGCCAAGCTTGCCGAAACTCCAGCGCGATGCTTTCTTTTTTCCTTTCCTTTTGGCGGGCGCTGCCACCCATTTGGGTCTGGTAGCTCTGAGCCTCAGGGAATTTCGGATTGGCTCGATCTCGAGTCTCAAGGTTGCCTGGGCGATGTACTGGCGGTTTAAACCAAGCGGAAGCTCATTCATTGACCTTAGTCCATGAACCGGTTCATTCGTGAACCCCTTGTCTTGATTTTCATCGAAGATTTGTTTTTATGTTTTGGTTTGCGGAAGAAGCTGTGGTCTTGTCATTTTTTTTCTTTTTCTTTAGTGGAAGAAGCTGTGCTCTTTGTTTTTGCATTGAAGAAGTCATCCTCTTAGTTTTTGCTTCCAAGAAGCTATGCTCTTTTATTTTTGGTGGAAGAAGCTGTTCTTTCTTCTCCCCCCCCCCCCCCCCCCCCCCCCCCCCCCCAACCACCACCACCACTTTTTGTTTTCCATGGAAAAAGCTGTTCTCATTGGCGATTGCTGGCTGTGAAGTTAATTGGAAGTGGTGTCCTTGTGCCATCCATTCAAATTAGAACGATATAAAGAAGATTAGCATGGCCCGTCCGCAAGGATCACACACATAAATCAACTGAAGAAAAGAAAGTTAGTCGAAACTTGAAAGCGGTTTCAAAATGATCAAATCTGAGCATCTGATGCCAAAAAGAGCCACCCTGCTTTGACTTTCTGTTGGCAGGCAGTAGTTAATGGCAGTGCTTGTGTACTCTTTCCATCTCTCTCTCTCTCTCTCTTTTTGTTCTCTTTGGGTTGTTGCTGAAGGGAAGGAGGGACTGTCAAGGATGCCGTGGATTTTGTGCTGCAGAACTTCACTGAAATGAACAAGCTATGGGTGCGCATGCAGCATCAGGTACAGGTGCAGACACTTACAAAATCTCCCTAACGGTGTGTATGTTTTGAAAATTTTCTTACAATCTGGGTTAGGCCGACGCCCGGTCCAGATGGACCGGGCCTGACGGATGGAGGGGGGTCCGTCCGGCAAAACCAGACGAGCCAAAAAACGTCCCAGGATTTTTTTTATTATTATTATTATTTTTTTGAAGATGAGGTTGGAGTGCGCTCGCTGAGAGGAGCCCGAATCCGCGGAGAAACTTGTGAAAGGCATGTGTGTTGTGGTGGTGGGGGGTGGGGGGGTATTGGAGGTGCTTGCAACTTTTTCTTTTCCTTTGTCTGCTGCCGTTTTGCCTCTCCTCCTTCCAGACCTGCCACTCTCCCCGCCAACGCCGCTGCCACGGCCCGCCATACTGTCTTGGAAGTAAAGGATGCAAGGACCAACAGCGAGGGAAAAAAGAAAGTACAAATATCGGAAGAAGAAGGAGAAGAAGAAGAAGAATTAGAAGAAGAAGAAGAAGAAGAAGAAGAAGAAGAAGAAGAAGAAGAAGAAGAAGAAGCGGTTGTGAATGGGGCCGCTGTCTGCCCGCTTACGTCCTTTTTTAGGGGCAGGAAAAAAAAAAAAAAACGAACGGGCAACAGCGGGCAGTAGGATATGGCAGGCGGTACAATATGGCTGGCGGATGTGCGAGATGGTGGGCGGTAAGATATGGAGGAGGAAAAAGACGAGGAGGGAAGAAGACGAAAGGAGGAGGAGGAGGGGGGAAGAAGAAGACGAAAGGAGGAGGAGGGAGAAGAAGAGGAGGGAGAAGAAGGGGAGGGAGAAGAAGAGGAGGGAAGGAGGAGGAGAGGAGGAGAAAAAAGATGGAGACTTGAAAAACGAAACAGACGAAAGGAGTAGAGGAGAACACGGAAGAGAGAAGAACAAAGGGGGAGGAGGAGAGAAGAACAAAGGGGGAGGAGGAGAGAAGAACAAAGGGGGAGGAGGAGGAGAGAAGGACAAGACGAAAGGAGGAGGAGTAGAGGAGAAGAAGACGAGAGGAGGAGGAGGAGAGAAGGACATGATGAAAGGAGGAGGAGGAGGAGGAGAGAAGAAAAAGGAGGACAAGACGAAAGGAGGAGGAGGAGAGAAGAAAAAACGAAGACGAGAGGAGGAGGAGGAGGAGGACAGAAGGAGAAGACGAAAGTAGGTGGAGGAGGAGGAGAGAAGAAGAAGACGAGGAGAAGACAAAAGTAGGTGGAGGAGGAGTAGGAGTAGAGAAGAAAAAGTAGATGAGAGGAGGAGGAGGAGGAGAAGGAGAACACGAAAGTGGAGGAGGAGGAAAGAAGAAGAAGACGGGGAGGAGGGGGAGGTGGACCTGCCGGATTCGGATGGTGATGACAAAAAAAAAAGAAAGAGGAGGAGGAAGGAGGAGGAGGAAGAGGAGGAGAGAAGAAGCGGAGAGAGAGAGAGAGAGAGAGAGAGAGAGAGAGAGAGAGAGAGAGAGAGAGAGAGAGA